AGTCAGTAGTGATATAAACCAGTTTAAAATAAAACTCAAAAAATAAATTTTAAATAAGTAAAAGAATGAAGAAAATGCAATTAACCCAAGACAGCAGTCAAAGTGATGTTTATTTTCCTTTGCAAAATAGTAAATCTAAACATAGTTTTAGTCGAATGTGAGAAAAGTTGAAACCATTGTATACGTTTTTCTTGTTTAAATTTAGATGACGAGGAAATGATTAAGATGTAAACCTGAGGGGGTCGGGCTAAATAAATACATACTTCTGCCTACTCCTTTTCAAACAACTGCATGGAATGATATTATGAAATGTTGGTGAATGTATATGTTTGAAATAAAAATGAACTGAACTGAAGGTGTCATCCACATACCTAAACTAATGACTTGGTGATGTTCCAGGGTAGGATAACAAAGCCCTCTTTTCCGTTTTTTCCATGTACAAGTTGGCCACAATGGGTGAAACTGGGGAACCCATGGCACACCCATTTTTCTGTCTGTAGTACTGACCCTTGCATGTGAAATAGGTGGAATGAAGACACAAACACATTTGGTCGGTCCTGAGAGTGGTCCTGTTGCTGAGGTTGGGGTCCTGTAATCTCCCATGAACCACCTCCAACGTTTTAGTGACTGTTTCCCCAGATGAAACAATCAGACCATTGTTTCATCTGGGGAAACAGGCAGTTAGCCGAGACTGAAGAAGTCATTTGGATGAGTGGCGAAATGTTTCTCCCGCTGAAAATGCTGAGTCCAGAATCAACTTTTTGGATAATATTAGCGTTATTATCTTTTTTAAAATCTGAAATCATTTTGGTGTTTCAGGAGAATCTGAGTTCTCACAGTGACCTTTCTGCCAGCAGCGACAGCCTGTCTGAAAACAAGGTGAGGCCCTGTAGCTGCTGTAGTGGCAGCAGAGATAATGTTATCTGGAATTACAGTGTACACATACAGCTCAGTGGTATATTTACCTGCAAAATTAGTTGTCTGACTTTGGGTAGAATAACCGAGCATGAGCATGCTGTTCGTGTCTGTTTCAGGAAAAAAACCAATGGTACAGTGGGATGTTAAAGAAGAGGTGGAAACCAACAGAAAGTCTTCAAACTGGTCAGGTAGAATCATCAAAAATACACATAAAACATACCAGATTATATGCACATGTATTGCGTAACTAGTCACACAAAAGACATAAGCTCGCATGATTAGGTTACTGCTTCCATCACCTGATAATCAAATTGCACGCTCTTATTTTTTGGGCAGGACAATAAAGCAGACAGTAATTCTGAAGACCTAGAAGAAGAGGAGAAAACATCAGAGATGTCTCATGTAAGTTTTCTTATCTTTAGCAAATGAGGAAATTCTCTTGCACAAGAGGATAGAGGCCAAGGGAGGGAGTTAGACAAGCTGCCATGGAGTTGTTTTTGTTCGGAACCTCTAATTTTGTACATGCGTTTAGATCATCAATATCAATTCTCTTGTGTTTGTGGAAAGATGGAGATGTGTGGTCATCATCATGTTTTATCTAATCTATCTTAGGAAAAGGGAAGCTACTTGTTTGGTTTCCTTAAAAAGCCAAAAAAACCAGCCGCTGAGA